AAGAAAGAAAGAAAGAAAGAAAGAAAGAAAGAAAGAAAGAAAGAAAGAAAGAAAGAAAAGAAACTCTGGGCTCCTGGCTTCAGCCTGGCCCAGCCAGTCCAGCTGTTGCAGCTATCTGGGAGTAAACCAGCAAACAGAAGGTCCCCCTCTGTCCCTCTCTGCAATTATGCCTTTCAAACAAATAAAAACAACCTTTAAGATTACTTAAGGGCAGTGTGCTAAGCTGTCACCTGCACACCATATCTCTTATCAGAGCTCCATTTTGCAGTCCTGGCTTCAGTTGGAATCCAGCTTTCTGCTAATGCACCAGGGAGGATGGCGGAGGGCAGCACAGGTACTACTGCATGGAGACCCAGCGGCGCTCAGGTGCCTAGCCACTGGCTGCAGCCTGTCCCAGTCCCAACTGTTGCTGGGATGTGGGGAGTAAATCAGTGGATGGAAGATCTCAGTCTTTCCTTCTTTATCCTTTGGCCTTTCAAATAAAACACACACAACTCACTCACACACTCACTCACACACTCACTCACTCACTCACTCACACAGAACCTGGTGCAAAGGCTCAATTAGCTAATCCTCCTTACCTTCAAGCACCAGGATCCCATATGGGTGCCGGTTTGTATCTTGGTCACTTCACTTCCCATCCAGTTCCCTGCTTGTGGCTTGGGAAAACAGTAGAGGACGGCCCAAAGCCTTGGGACCCTGGAGGAAGCTCCTGGCTCCTGATTTGGATGGGCTCAGTTCCAGCTGTTGTAGCCATTTGGGGAGTGAACCAGTGGAAGGAAGATCTTTTTCTCTCCTCCTCTCTGCTTGGGGTGCCTATCTATCATATGCAAGGGTCCAGGTCTGAGTCCAGCCACTGCTCCAATTCCAACTTCTGCTCCCAATTCCAGCTTCCTATTCATTTACAACCTGGAAGGCAGCTCAAAGACTCGGGTCCCTGTCACCCATATAGGAGACTTAGATTCAATATTGGGCTTCTGGTTTCACCCTGGCCCAGCCCCGGCTGCTCTGGGCATTTGAAAAGTAAACCAATGTGGTTTACCCTCTCTATTTTTCAAATTTTGAAAAAAGATTTATTTATTTTTATTGGTAAGACAGATGTACAGAGAGGAGAGACAGAGAAGAAGATCTGTCTGATGATTCACTCCCCAAGTGACCACAATAGCCGGAGTTGAGCCGATCTGGAGCCAGGAGCCATGAGCTGCTTCCAAGTCTCCCACATGGGTGCAGGATCCCAAAGCTTTGGGCTGTCCTCGACTGCTTTCCCAGGGAGCTGGATGGGAAGTGGAGCTGCCGGGATTAGAACCGGTGACCATATGGGATCCCAGCGCATACTAGCTGAGGACCTTAGCCGCTAGGCTACCGCTGGACCTTGTTAGAGTCACAGCTCTTACGTGTATTCAATACCACCCAGGGCTGAGGAAGAGTTTGCACAGCCCTATTTCAGTCTCTACAGGTTTGCAACTAACATACATCTACTGCTGGTTGTATTTTACATGAAGTTCAAGGACAGGCCTCATCTTCATTACTACAAAAGTGTTCTTAAATACTATATACCTAGACAAATGAACTAGAAGACTGGAAGAAAATGTGAATCTTTCAGAACTTGATTTTTTTTTTTTTAACTCTTGCCAAGCAGAGACAGAATCAGACAAAGAGACAGAGAGCCCCCACATGCTGGGGCCAGGACAGGCTGAGGCTGGGAGTCAGATACTCCACCCATGTCTCCCACGTGGGTGGCAGGGACCCAAATACTTCAGCCATCCTTGCTGCCTCCCAGGGTCCCCATTAGCAGAAAACTGGAATTGGCAGCCAGAGCCCACACTTGAACCCAGACACTCCAACACGGCAGTGGGCATCTTAACTGCTGGCCCAGTCGCTAGTCCCTGGGCTAACCTTGACCACCCAGGAGACTGTGGAACCCTCGTGTCCCCCTGCATGGATCTAAAAGGCAGACAGCCACGCCCACCCAGCTGGGAAGAGGCAGCAGAGTGCTTTTATGCTCCCAGCTTGTGGGTTTTCCCCTTTATGCAGTTTTTCTTAAACCACATTTTCTTTGCTGCTTTGGTCATGTTGAAGTGTTCTACTTTAAGCTGCCTGATCTCCCTTCTTGAACAGGGTGGGGTCGAAATAAATAGTAGCAACTCGGTGTGTTGTGGAAAGAAAGGGAGCAAGACAACCCAGAAGCTGATTCCATTCACACAACTCAGGCCCTGTGCTCCATGATGGCAGACACTGCATAGCGGCCGGGTCCTGCCTACGTGTTACAGAAAGCTGGTGGCAATAAATCAGGTCCTAGGCTGGGAGGCTGAAATGTAGAGGCAGAGAGATGAACTGATGAACAGCCAGACTGCAGGCAGCCAGGGTAAATGAGAAATCGCAATGGGAGCAGGTAGCACGTCATTCCATGGAGGAGCATCCTCCATCACCAATGACCCCCCTCCACTGCAAAACCTGGCCCTGGAGAACACCCTTCGCTGCCGGCCCTTGTGCCCAGAGCTGGCAGAGGTCCATGAACCAAAGCCCTGGCATGCCAAGTGCCTGGGAATGACCAAAGGAGGCAGTCAGATCCTTCCAGAAAACTTGAGGCAGCCACATTCACATTGGGCTTCCTCTGGAAGAAAACAGGTCAGAGGAAAATGTGTTCTCTGCCACGGAGATGTCTGCAGCAGAGGGAGGAGTTGTCTGCAGCAGAGGGAGGAGTTGTCTGCAGCAGAGGGAGGAGTTGTCTGCAGCAGAGGGAGGAGATGTCTGCAGCAGAGGGAGGAGATGTCTGCAGCAGAGGGAGGAGATGTCTGCAGCAGAGGGGGGAGTTGAGTTGTCTGCAGCAGAGGGAGGAGTTGTCTGCAGCAGAGGGAGGAGATGTCTGCAGCAGAGGGAGGAGTTGTCTGCAGCAGAGGGAGGAGATGTCTGCAGCAGAGGGAGGAGTTGCAAAGCAAGGCACTTTGACTCAACAGACAATTCTGCACTAATTATGAAGACCAAAGAAACCAGGAAGATGGGCCTGGCGCGGTGGCCCAGTGGCTAAAGTCCCCACCTTGCACGCACCAGGACCCTATATGGGCACCAGTTCTAATCCCGGCAGCCCCGCTTCCCATCCAGTTCCCTGCTTGTGGCCTAGGAAGGCAGTCAAGGACAGTCCGAAGCCTTTGGGACCCTGCACCGGTGTGGGAGACCTGGGGGGAGGTTCCTGGCTTCGGATCAGCTCAACTCCAGCCACTGTGGCCACTTGGGGAGGGAATCAGTGGACAGAGGATCTTCCTCTATGTCTTTCCTCCCTGTATATCTGACTTACCAATAAAAATAAAATAAATCTTAAAAAAATTAGTGCTTCTTAAAAAAAATAATAGCTCATAGTTTGTTTCAACCACATTAAATACCCATTCCCCTGGAAGTGACTCCCCTTTCCTTAAAAGGCCAAACTGAAATATCAATGAAATGCTGCAGATTTTATTCAGGGACTGGTGTTGTGGCACAGTATGTTAAGCAGTTACCTGCAACACTGACTTCCCACACCTGACCATCATCTGGGGTCCCAGCTACTCCGTTTCTTTTTTATTTTGTTAAGATGTAGTTGAAAGTCAGAGTTACAGAGGGAGGAAGACAGAGAAAGCAGCAGCAAAGGGCCATGCGTCTGGGCTCCTGCCATCCACGTGTGACACCAGCCTGGAGTTCCTGGCTCCTGGGCCTTTGGCCTGGCCCAGCCCTGACTGGTATGGCCATCTGGGGAACGAACCAGTGCATGGAAGATCTCTCTGATTCTCCCTATCCCTCTGCCTTCCAAATAAAATAAATCTTTAAAAAAAATCTTTTTATTCACTTAAAATAATAGTCACATCGTCTAAATACAAACAATACATCTCTCGAAAAAAAAATCTGACAGTTAGGAAGAAAATTAACACACGCAAGCTAAGCATCTGGCCTCACAATTAAGATGCTCGGCTAGAAGATGCTTCCATCCCACATCAGAGGGCCAGGTCTGCGCCCCCGCTCTGCTTCTCATTACTGCTTCCTGCTAATTTGCACCCTGGGAGGCAGCAAGTGTGTGCGTAAGAACTTGGGTCCCTGCCACTCACATGGGAGCCCCAGATGGAGTTTGCAGCTTCAGTTCCGCCCTGCCTCAGCCACAGCAGGATTCAGGCAGGGACCACAGAATGGGAGCTCTCTGTCTCTCAGGTGAATGAATGAATGAATGACTGAATGAACGCATCCTCCCCCTCTTTAGCGGCACTTTGCAGCACGCATGCTCCAGTCTGTCTGTCTACATCCACCGCAGAGAGCTCTGTTCAGACTCTGGAAGCCCAGGAGGGACTGGAAGAGATGGCATCTGACTCTGAACTTAGAAACTGAAGATGCCTGAGGGAAAGACGAGGGAGAGCAGGGGCAGAGGCCCGAGCACACAGCAGGCATCAGGCCGGAAGGGCAGGATGACCAGGGCAGGCGCTGGACCAGTCTGAACAACACCTTTGCTGTCATCAAGTGTTAGGCCCTGTGGGCCACCCGATCTCCCAGAGGGAAGGAACCGGAAGTCCACAGTTTGCTGCTGAGACCTAAATGAGGTCTGTCCCCCTGGAGCCTCGTCCCCATGTGCAGCTGCCTTGGGAGGGGGCTGGGTCACGGTGACAGAGCCTCACCAATGGATTAATGCCTGGTTCGCATAGGGCTCCACTCTCATGGGGCTGGTGCAGTTAGCCCAAGAGCAGGTTGCTAGGAGGCAACTCTATCCTCACTGCCTCACACACTCCCATCCGCCCTCTGCCCTGAGCTAAAGCAGCCACGATGCAGCAATATGACCTTGATCTTCCCAGCTGCCAGGACCCAGGAGCTACAATGAACCTCTTTATCCCTTACAAAGCCTTGGGTGTTGTGGTACAGCAGCAGGAAAGGCACTAAGGCACAGACTCGGCATACAGACAACAGAGGCAGAGCTGGGACTGAACCCAGACACACACTGCAACCCAGGCCATGCAGTCGGCCGGCAGAGCCCCATGCCCACATACCGTTCATATTCCAGGTGAAGGCGTCCCGCAACTTCTGCCCGTCAATCTCCATATCCAGGCGGATGGGGACCAGCACCTCGGGCTGGGACGCGTTCTCGTGGATCACAGCTGGGTCATGGTCATCAAAGCTGAAAGTGGAACAGCAAAAACGTCACAGGCCACACCAGAGGCAGGGTCCTAAGGATGGGGGCTGTCCACCTCCCTCTCTGCTTGGCAGGTCACTGCGAATCGGGCTGGAGGGGAAAGGCTACACCTCTGACACACACCTGTCAGCTACCAGCTGAGGCCACTGAGGGCCTCGAGGCCACAGTCTCACGGAGCGAAAGGGAGAGACCACATGACAAGAGCCGCCTGACCAGTAGACAGCACTGCATCGGGGCAGGGCCACGTGCTTCACAGATGCATGGGGGAGAGATGGAAGTGCTAACCTGGGCAGCAGAACAAGACCCGGAAGTACATCAGAGGTGATGTCAGGCCCACAGTAGGCAGGACATTCACAGCAGGCTGTGGGAAAGCAGAAGGGTGTCTGCAGAGAGGAGATGCTGGAGCTGACGGCTGCCTGTCTCAGGCCGCAGATCCCAGCCTTGGGACCGTGCAACCCAGGGAGATAGCCAGCGAAGGAAGACAATGAGGGAAGAGCTGGTGCAATCAGGCAGGGGAGACTAAAGAGATGGCTGAGGGTTGCCTTGCCCTGGGAGAGCCTGGGAAGCAGGTGACAACCCAACAGGGAGGGGACAACCCAACAGGGAGGGGACACTACACCTGGTAGCAGGTGTAAGCACTCTAAGAGGTGAGACTGAGGAGGGGACAAGGATGCAGAGACAAAATTTCCTTCTAAATGGGACAGTAAGTGACACCTGAAAGGAGATGGGAGAGGGAGCGAGGGAGGGAGAAGGGAAAGGAGAAGAGAGACAGACAGGACAAGCCATGGAGCAGCGAGCTCCGGCACAAGGTGTGGGTCCACAGCGTCGGTGGCTTGAGGCCCCCACAGCAGGGAGGAGGCTGCTGTGCACCATGCTGGTGAGCACGCTAGAGCTCGTATGCTCCCAGCCCCGCAAGCTCAGCTTTGGCCGAGTGTGCAGGAAGGCTGGGGAATTCTGTGTGAAGTGGCTGGCTGGCACTGCCCAGGATAAAGAGAGCTGGCTGCCATGCTGAAGACGCGGGAAGGTAGGCGATACACAGCTGGGACTGCTGCCAAGACTCAGAGCTGGTCAAGCCAGGTAGGGAGCTGGTCCAAGCCCAGAGACTCAGAATGCTGGGCAAGTAGGAATTTGCCAACATCAGGATAATTCTCTGCCTGAGGCACAGGCATCCCATATGGGTGCCAGTTCACGTTCCAGCTGCTCCACATTCCATCCAGCTCCATGCTGATGGGTCTGGGAAAGGCAGTAGAGGATGGCTCTCAAGTCCTTGGGACCCTGCACCCACATGGGAGATCCGGATGAAGCTCCTGACTTCTGGCTTTGGATTGATTCAGCTCTGGCCATTGTGGCCATTTGAGGAGTGAACCAGCAGATGGAAGATATCTCTCTCTCTCATATTCTCTGTAAATCTGCCTTTCAAATACAAGTAGATAAATCTAAAAAAAGAAGGAAAGGGCAAGAAAGAAAAAAGAAAGAATTTGCCAAGACTGGCTTGTGGCAGGAGAAAAAGGAAGGAGTTGAGAGGGAGCTCTGGGCTTCCGGCCTGAGAGAAGGACAGGATTAAAGCAAGCGGCCAGCCAGCATGTAGCCAAGGAGGTAAGGGTTGTGGCTGGGGGAGACCCAGGCTGCAGAGGCAGGAGCTCAAGAATGGCCCTCGGAGACGCTGATATCTGTACCCCTAAAACCTACAACCACAGCCTCAAATGGCACTCAACAGGCCTGTACAGAGGTGATTAAGTAAGCGGGCATCAGAGATGAGCCCTGTGGGCCCCAGATCACATCGCAGTGTCCTACAGAAGACGGGGAGATTCCATACACTAGGAGATCATGTGCCCAGGGACAGAGTGCTGCAGCCACCAGAGCAGAGGCAGCAAGAAGGGGACCTGCCCTGAAGCCTTTGCCACACCTGACGATCAGCCCCGTGAGGCTTACATGGGCTTCCGGGCCCTAGAACTGCAATCACGTGGTCTGTCCTACTCATAGCCACCTGGCTTGACAGGGCCTGTTCCCGTAGCTCCAAGAAATGGACATGGTGGGGGTCCCATGGAGGGCATTTCAAACTGAGGACAGGATAGCGAGGGAAAGCAGGCAGGGCTGGGGAAGCTGGGGAAAGTCCAGGAAGACAGCATTTAAAGAGGAGGTAGCTGCGTAGTGTTGAGGGGAACCCCGGGTCAAAGCAGAGGGGCCTTTTGGGAAGGAGACAAAATGTGCTGGAACCCAGAGAGCAGCTGTGTGGGCTCACCAGAGGGGGAAGGTCCTCTTCTTGTCCCGGCCCATGCGGTTCCTGTTGATGGTGGTGGAGCATGGCACGGCGTCCAGGTGGTGGGAACTGTTGGGCAGGGTGGGCACCCACTGGCTGTTCCTTTTGGCTTTCTGTTCCCTGCAAAGACATGGGAAAATGTTCCAGGGTGAGCCTGTAAGGCTGGCTTAGCAGACTCCTGCTGAGCCCCTGCCAGCTCCAGTCCTTAAAGAATGTGTGTGCCCCACAGACACTACAGGGGTGCACCCCACAGGCCTCTCCAGCACCTATTGGTGCCAGGGCAAGGAGAAGGGCAGGGAGGGTTTCAGGCATGGCCCAGTGCTCCCCGAGGGTGTGACTCCTCAGCAGGTAGCTTGGAGGTTTGAAGGGAAAGACGGGAGTGTGTGATACGGCTGGCATTAGGAACCACCAGCTCAGACAGACAGGCTACAGCGGGGATTTGGGGCTTGCCAATCCAGTTCTCAGTTCCTGCCTCAAGTAGTTCCTTGTTCTTCCTCGTGCAGGTCTCAGGGGTGAGGTGAAGGCAACCCCAACATCAGGACAGAATACTTGCTTTAGTCGCAGCCACAATGGGTGCTGTAAATCCCTTCTCTCCCCACCCATGATCAAGATGTGGTGCAAGCGGCCTCAGACTTAGAAAAGGAGCTGCCGGGCCCAGGACTCAGGCAGGCCCTGACCTGCTGTGCCTCTGCCCTCCACCACTGCCCAAGAATGACAAAGAGCTGCTTGCTGGGCTGCTGGTTCCCAGCCCTGACCACATCAACCCACCCAGAGAACAACAGCTTTAGGAGTGAACTCCTGAGTCCCACCCAGACCAACTGACTCCCCTCGGGACTGGGGTAGCACCCAGGAATGTGCATTCTAAACAACTTCCATGGAAGGTTCTGGCGCAGCTGGGCTCAGGTCCCCGACACCTCCTCTTTCCTGCCTGGCTGTCCTCCAGGGGGCCTAACCATCGAGATCCGCACTCCTGCCCCATCTCACGGGAGCAAGCCTTCGCTCACCTCTGCCAAGCTCTCCCATCTCAGAGGCTGAACGGGGCCAGCGCCATGACAGCTCCCAGGAGCTCCTGAGGAGCACAGAACCCCAGAAAGCCCACCTCCCTGCTTTTGCCAGGATCCTCCCAAGAGCCCTGAGGTGGGGCAGGGGCTGCCAGAGCAGCAGGCAGCCAGCTCCAGGTGCTTCCCTCCAACCTGGGCCATCCCTCCTGGTCCTGCCTCAGCTGGACTCTCCTCCCTCAGCTGATCCTCATGGACCCAATCATGAAAAAAACTCTGCCCCATAAAAGGAGCTGAGCTGAGACAAACTAAGAAACAGTGTTTTTTTTTTTTTTTTTTTTTTAAAAAAAAGGATGTCCACATGTGACTAATTTCCTTCCACAGCTTTCCTTGAGGCTCTAGCCTTCCTTCTGTCCTCAGCTCATGCCCCGTGGGTAAGGGGAGGCGAGAATCTGCAGAGCACACGTTGAGGGTGCCAGCTGGGCTGGCTATAGGCCACCCTGCTCACGGGGAAGTCATCAAAACAGAGCATAGTTCAAAGCATCTGGGAAGAAATGACTTCCACAACCACATCACTCCCAACAACCACCCTCCCCAACCTCCCCCAGCGCACCCTGGCTCTTGGGCCCAGAAAAGTCTGCTTTCTTCAGTGATGGAAGCACAAGGTACAACCTCGTACTGCGTATGCCCCAGGTGGCTGCAGAGGCTGCCTAACGATAATATAGGAAACCGGGCCAGGGAGATGGTTTAATGGCTAAATCCTCTGCCTTGCAGCACTGGCAGCCCATATGGATACCAGTTGGTATCCCGGCTGCTCCACTTCCCTTCTAGCTCCCTGCTTGTGGCCTGGGAAAGGCAGCAGAGGATGGCCCAAAGCCTTGGGACCCTGCACTGACATGGGAGACCTGGAAACTCCTGCCTCCTGGCTTTGGATCGGCTCAGCTCAAGTCACTGTAGCCATTTCAGGGAGTGAACCAGAGGAAGGAAGATCTTTTTCTCTGTATCTCCTTTTCTCTGTAAATCTGACTTTCCAATTAACAATAACAATAATAATAAAAATTTAAAAATGATAACACAAAGAAACTCCAGTTCCTGGAGAATGGATTAAAGAGGTAAACTTATTTTGCTGCAAATGAAATCTATGCATTTAAAAAAATATATATGTAACACACATTCTCTATGAACTTTCTGAAGACCCCATGTGTAAGGGTTTGCCTTACACATCCAGGTTCAAATGGCTGCATCATCACCTACCTGGCCTCTCCTTAAGGCTGGACACTGAGGTGGCAGCATAGCTCCATTATTATCCACAACCTTTCAAGGGTTTATTCATTTTGTTTTTCAGTGATCTCTTCAGGATATATGTGGCACAGTGAGTTAAGCAGCCACCAGGGACACCAGCATCCCATGTAATTGCCAATTCAAGTCCCAAATGCTCCCCTTCCTACCCAGTTCCCTGCTAATATGCGCCTGGGAGAGCAGCAGAGGATGACCCAAGTGCTTGGGCCCCTACTACCCATGTGGGAGACCTGGATGGAGTTTCGGTGGTTTTGGCCTGACCTAGCTCTAGTTATTGTGGCCCTCTAGAGAGGAAATCAGTAAATGGAATATTTCCTTCTTTGTCTCTTCCTCTTTCTTAACTTTGCCTTTCAAATAAATAAATCTTTTTTAAAAAAGTAAAATTGGGGCCCGGCGCGGTGGCGCAAGTGGTTAAAGGTCCTCGCCTAGCACGCCCGGGATCCCATATGGGCGCCGGTTCTAATCCTGGCAGCCCCGCTTCCCTTCCAGCTCCCTGCCTGTGGCCTGGGAAGGCAGTCGAGGACGGCCCAAGGCTTTGGGACCCTGCACCCGCGTGGGAGACCCGGAAGAGGCTCCTGGCTTCGGATCGGCATAGTATCGGCCCGTTGCGCTCACTTGGGGAGTGAATCATCGGACGGAAGATCTTCCTCTCTGTCTCTCCTCTCTCTGTATATCCGCCTTTCCAATGAAAAAATAATAAAAATAAATCTTTAAAAAAAAAAAAAAAAAAAAAAAAAAGAACAGAAACGACTGATAAATAAGCGGTCACATTTCTGGGTATCCTGGATAATATTCAAAAAAAAAAAAAAAAAAAAAAGTAAAATTAATGAGGGCTCAGTGTGCCGTGGCCTAGTGGCTAAAGTCCTCGCCTTGAACGTGCCGGGATCCAATATGGGTGCCGGTTCTAATCCTGGCAGCTCCACTTCCCATCCAGCTCCCTGCTTGTGGCCTGGGAAAGCAGTTGAGGACAGCCCAAAGCCTTGGGACCATGTACATGGTCAACCTGGAGGAAGTCCTGGCTCCTGGCTTTGGATTGGCTCTGCTCCAGCCGTTGCACTCACTTGGGGAGTGAATCATTGGATAGAAGATCTTCCTCTCTGTCTCTCCTCCTCTCTGTATATCTGACTTTGTAATAAAAAATAAATAAATCTTTAAAAATAACAAGAAAAATTTTAAAATGAAATTAATGAGCCAGAAGACAAAACAAAAATTTTTTGATAATATTGTGTTTTACAAAAGACCCAATGATCTATAGAGGGTTAGGCACTGCAGCACAGAGGGCTAGGGGGTTGAGTCCAGCTACTCCACTTCACAGTCAGCTTTCACTAATGCTCCTGGGAAGGCAGTGGAGAACGGCCCAAGTCTCTGAGCCCTGAGACCCATGAGTTCCTAGCTTCAGCCCAGCCTATCAGCAGGCATTTGAAGAGTGAGTTGGTAGACGAAGAAATCACAAATCTATCTATCTACCTATTTATCTATCTATCCACCTATATGGTTATCTCTATCATTTCCCCCCTCTCTTTCGAGCTTTTTATTCACTCAAAACTATTGCTGATGCTTGGGTGAGTTGATCCGAGGCTGCATGTTTCCTAACAAAATTAGGTCCACTTTCAAAGCATTCCTGACTATTCTCCAGGATGTGGGAGTCGGCTTAGGTTTCTTAGGAATTCCTAAGCTACAGAAGAGAACTCAGAAACCCAGCTGACAGCACTTGCCAAGTGTTAGAAAGTACTCCAGTTCAACTTCACACCAAGCAATTCTCAAGTCTGAGAAAAATCCGTGTGGGTGTGGATCCTAGGACCACGGCCAGCCAGGTGTGCGTTACCTGAGGTAGGTGGGGGGCTCCGTGCTGATGGACACGGCCTTGTACTTCTCATCGTTGCCATCCAGGATCTCTTCTACCTCTGAGGCTTTTAACAGAGTCACGCTGGTGGCGAGGGTCGTGTACCCATGATCTGTAAGTGGAGAGGAGGCACTCGGTCACTGTGCTGGTGGCAGGTGCCAAGTAGCAGCAAGCCAGTCGGATCCAGCACATCAAGGTCCTCACATGCGGGAGGTGGGAAAAGCAAGGTGTCAAACTTACTACTGCCGAATGTTGGCCTCTTCCAAAAGGGCAACCTGGCCCGAAGGTTTTATTGGGTAGGTCCCGTGGGCATGAACTTGGACTAGACTACTGCCAGACCACTGGCTTGGTGCAGAGCAAGCCCTCAGGGTGGGGGTGGAGGCGGCAGCAGCAGCCACAGCAGCAGCCACAGCACCAGCATGGCACAGCCAATGGGGACTCGAGACTCCAGGATATGTGTTCTTGGGTCCTTGCTCAGGGCTGGGGAAGGGAAGGCTCCAGAGGGACACCCCAGTGGGAAGAGGTCTGACACCACCACGATCCACAACAACACGAAGCGAGGTGGGCGATGGAATGAGAGATGGAAACGACTTTTCTTTTAAAACAAGAGCCCAGAGAATTGGAAAGAGCTGCTTCATGCCAAACAGGACTTCCTGTGCCCGAGCTAGTGTGGACACGGGGTTAAGGGGAGAGAAGAGGTGTGAGTGGGGGGCCGCTTGATCCCTAGCTCTTTTAAGGAACCCCTGTCTCCTCCTAGAGGAATCAAGCAGTTGTGGGAAAGGTCCTCCCCAAAGCACAGGGCGGGAAAGATGCCAAGACTTCGCCCAGGGACTTGCAGAGGGGAAAAAGCCAAGGTGGACAGGTACTGTGGGAGGGACTCGTGCCCCACCAGGCAGGAGGCGGGCACATGGGAAACGCTCTAAGTGGGCGAATTGCACATCCAACAGCAGCTCCGGCTCCTGCGTTAAAAGAACCACTACTTTCTGTCCACAGTGGACTAAACCACAGCAGCTCCTATGCACACAACCACACAGGGCAGACCACGTAGCACCATATATGCATGCGCAGTCTCTCTCTCTCTCACACACACACAACACACCTAGGCCCAGGGCAGCTCTCTCTAAGACGCCACTGTTAAGTGTGAAGCAGTGTTGCCACCTGCCAAAAGGGACTGTGTCCACAAACACAAATGTCCCCGTGGGAACGTCTCCCTGGAGAGCATTGTTCCGTCCTGCACAGAGCTGCCACGGCCCCAAACACGCTGGTCTCACTCAGTCGGGGGGGCACACGCAGCCAAGCCCCAAGCACATGGCGGGCCACGACGAGCAGGGACATGCACACACATGCCCGGGCACACTGGCTGCCAGGATGTAGTGCTATGAGATGGATGTGCTCTGAGAAGCAAGCAGTGAAAGCCCCAGAGGGGAGTGGGAGCGGCAGCCTCCACCCGCCACTCGGGCTGCATGGAGGATGGTTGTGGCGACACGCCCACGGCAGATGGCAGAGCATCGCAGCATTTCCTAAAACGTTTTGACACCAACGTGTCTTCACGGCACCTGCTATCTGCCCCAGCCTGGCCTGGCCCCCGCACATGCTGTCCCCACTGGTCCCTGCCCACCAGCCAGGGGGATGCCTCATAAGGACAGACTGCCCACAGCTCCTGGAGGTGCCCCTGAGCTCCCGCAGGGCGGCCTGCCCCACCCGGAGACACCCGTCCTGCCCCGCTCGGACTCACGCTGCTGTGAAGACACTCTGGGGTGAAAACGCTTTAACTTCATGACAGAAGCGAGTGGTTTTGAAACAGGTTTACAAACCCTCGTGAAGACGCACCCTTAGTGTTAGGTTTTGTTTTTTTACCATGTGACGATGCAACTATTTTCTTCCTTTCTTCCACAGTGGCTAGCCGCCTCCAGAGCGAGGGGTATCTCTTGTACAGAGAACCTCGGAACATACGGAGGTAGTTTCCCACCTATGAGTAAAGCAAGAAGGCTCATTATGAGGGTCGCGGCCTTGCACGGAAGGGGAGGTTCCTGGCGCAGCAAGCAGCCCAGCGACAAACCTGGACCATGACGTGGCCCCTAGGCGTCCGGCTCTTGGCAACAGTAAAACACATTTCTGCTGACACCAAGAGGTCAACTGCAGCGCACATCTGGCCCACATCTGTGCATCCATGTTCCGAAAGGCCTGGCCGCGGGTTGCAAGGAAGGGCTCACTCAGAAGCCCCTCTGCCCCAGGTCAGCCAGGAGTTCTCAGTGATTGAATGTTGGACTCGGGCTCTCTGGCACTTTCCAGAAATGTGAGGCTTCTGCGACCTTCTTTTATCTTAGGAAGACGACTTTGATATTTTTACGATGTCATAAACACCGAAAAGGGAGCTTTTAATTCTCGACAGATGCAGCATAATTTTCCCCTACAGCCTGGGCTTTGTTTAGTAACAAAACTCAAACCAGGGAAACCAAAGGAATTTTCCAGAACTTAAAAAGCACTGATTGGCAATCACCAGACTGCCATATAAATCATTACTTCCCCACACAATAGCTTCAATCTGCCTGTAGCCAATAATGGAAGTTGAACTTTCTTAATGAAGAGAAAACTAGTCCTCAAGTGTTGATACTAACATGCCGTCATCTCAGTGACTTTCCACATTGATCCCTTGACAGTCGCATGGCCCATCAGGACTAGGTGACCGGCGCTGGCTCTATGTGTGCCTGCAATCATTTCCCCATTTTGAGTCTCTTGACTCGTTTGTCAAAAGTAATTCTGAATCTGACCCTACAGAAGGCTACTTCTCAGGGCCAGCACTGTCACGGAGCGGTTACACCCGCGCCTGTGATACCAGCATCACCTGTGAGCACCTGTGAGCATTCAGTTTCTGAGTCTTGGCTATTTGGTTTCTCATTCAGCTCCCCACTAATGTGCCTGCGGAAGCAAGGGAAGGTGGGCTCCGACACCCAGGCAGCAGATTTCAATTGTAGTTCCAGGTTCCTTGTTTCAGCCAGGCCAGGCCTAGCCCCTGCTGTTGCGGCCACTGGAGATATTTGATATCTCTCTCTTTTTTTTTTTATCCCTTGTATTTAAAATAGATAAATAAAACTTAAGAAAGAGAAAAGACTACCTTGGGTATGGTATAATGGCTCAATTGGCTAATCTACCTGAAAGCACCGGGATCCCTTCTGGGAACTGGTTCATGTCCTGGTTGCTCCACTTTCCATCCAGCTCCCTGCCTGTGGCCTGGGAGAGCAGTGGAGGATGGCCCAAAGCCTTAGGACCCTGCACCCACATGGGAGACTTGGAAGAAGCTCCTGGCTCCTGGCTCCTGGCTCCTGGCTCCTGGCTCCAGATCGGCACAGCTCCAGCAATTGTGGCCACTTGGGGAGTAAACCAATGGACGGAAGATCTTCCTCTCTGTCTTTCTTCCTCTCTGTATACCTGACTTTCCAATAAAAATAAATAAATCCTGGGCTTGGTGCAGTGGCTAGCAGCTAAAGTCCTCGCCTTGAACACGCCAGGACCCGATATGGGCGCCAGATTCTAATCCCAGCAGCTCCACTTCCCATCCAGCTCCCTGCTTGTGGCCTGGGAAAGCAGTCAAGGATGGCCCAAAGCCTTGGGACCCTGACCCACGTGGGAGACCTGGCGGAGGCTCCTAGCTCTTGGCTTCAGATTGGCGCAGCAACGGCTATAGCGGTCATTTAAAAATCTTTAAAAAACACATAAATCCTTACAAAAAATATGCCACTTGAGACACCTGCGTCCCAAGTTTCACCTGTGGGTTTGGGTCCCAGCTCTGCTCCCAGATCTCTGTAGGTGCACACGATAGAAGGCAGCAGGTGACGGCTTAAGTGCTTGGCTCACTCAACCCATACCAAAAACGCAGCCGGAATTCCAGGCTCCTGCCTTCTGCTGGCCCATCCCAGCAGTCGTGACCAACTGCAGAGTGGACCAGAGATGGAAGAGTTCTCTTTTGAGCTCTACCTGCCTTTTCAAATAAATCAAAATAAAGGAAAGAAAGGAACTGACAGCCCTGCCCCTGTCCCTTGCCTATCTGGTCCTGCAGAGTCCTGGGACACTACGACACCTCAGAGCATGAGGCTCTGGGACCTCCCTTCCTGGCTTCTCCCTGTCCCAGCCTTGGCCTCTTTGGCCCCGGAGTCCCCAAATGTAAAGCAAAGCTGCTGGATCTAGGGATTTCTTAGGTTCCTCCTGGCCCTGTGAGCCTGGCTTGGTGAAAAGTGCTGCTAGCCGATGCTGGGAGAAGGGTGACACACACAGCAACCACGGCTGCCTCCCAAGGCACCCAGGGTGCTGCTGTGGCCGGCCCACCTCTCTGAATATGCTGCCCGTTTTCCAAGGGAAAGGAACGGGGCCCATTCATGCAATGCTGTGCCAGGAGCTGCTGGCGAGCAACGCTGTGGGTCTGGCCTTTGACCCAGAGAGGCATTCTAAGTAAGTGCGGCCACAAGTACAGTATGACGCACAAAGTGATAAGGCTTATGAAGAAGGTGTGGAAAGCACACAGGTGGGCAGCTCAGGAACGGAGTGGGCCCGAGGAAGAAGGCATGCAGGCATGGTGCCTCAGCACCTGGTCTCAGGCTCATTTGCAGAAAGAGGTGAGAGGGGGAGAAGGGGAGAAAGGGAGAAAGAGAGAGGGGAGAGAGAGAGGGAGAGGGGGAGTGAGGGAGAGAAAGAAAGAGGTGTGCTAGAGATGCCAGCCTCTTCAGAGGTTGGAAAGGGGAGTGTCTGCTTGATTCCAGGTAGATACATCCTGGGAGAGGGGCTACTTGACTGACATGCAGATAGGATTACACAGGGTGGGGAGTTGTGGCCCTGTCTAGCTACCTGCCTTATCTCATATCACCAAAACAGCACTCACTGTGCGGCTGGCCCTGTGGTCTAGCAGATTCAGCCGTCACCCTCAATACCCCCTCTTATAAACTCTGGCTCAACAACCAGCCGCTTTCTGGTTTCAAGAAAACGAATATTGTGAAAGAGTTGATTAAGTTGATTATCATAATTTTGTTAAGATTTAAAAAAAAAAAAAAAAAAAACCTGGCTGCTCTCCTTCTGACCAAGCTCCCTAGTAACCCACCTGGAAAAGCAGGGGAAGACGGTCCAAGTGCCTGGGGCCCTGCCACCCCAGGATGGAGCTCCAGGCTCCTGCCTTCCATCTAACCCAGCCCCGCCACTGTGGCTATTTGGGGAGTGACCCAGTGGGTGGGTATCCTTCTCCTTTCCTTTCTGTCTCTCTCCCACATGGGATCCTAGTGTGCACAAGGTGTGAACTTTAGCTGTTAGGCTACTGCGCCAGGCCCAATAAATGAATCTTAAGGAAAAAAATATATAGAAATTAGCAGGAATGTCTCCCAAAACAGACTAGACTGAGACAACCCGTAGAAACTCTATATACTGGGGGCCAGTGCCATGGCTTAGTAAGTTAAGCCTCCACCTGGTGCAGTAGCATCCCAAATGGGCGTGAGTTGAAGTCCTGGCTGCTCCATTTCCCTCCCAGCTCCCTGCTGAGGAAGCAGTAGAGAATTACCCAAGTCCTTAGGCCCCTGCACCATATAGGAAACCCAGAAAAAAACCCCAGGCTCCTTGCCTTGGATCAATGTAACTCTGGTCGCTGTGATCATAGGGGAGTGAATCAGCATTTGTAATATCTTTTTGTAAGATGTCTCTCCTTCTCTCTCTGTAAATCTGCCTTTCCAATAATAATAATAATAATAATAATCAACATACTTAGTACAAATCCCATCCTTGAAGAGTGGGATGATCAGCTGCTTCAAAGAAAGCTTTGCTGTTTGTACATAACGATTAAAGCCCCTGTATTAAAGCCCCCGTTTGCCTGCCCCAGCCAAGCCCCGCCCACCGCTATCCTAAGTTGTCAACTGCTTTGAAACTGCTGCAAGATCGAACACTGGGGTCTTGTCCATGCAAAAACAAACCCCCTTTTCCATTGATAAAAAAACAAGCGAAAACAAGTCTCCACTGCCCATTTCAGGAGCAAGAAACACAAAAGGTGAGGGCCAGGTCTAGGAGCAGGAGATGCCTGTATCTTAGCAAGGGATGGGTGGGTGGCGGTGGGAGGAATGCACTGAAAACCCTTATTGCTCAAAGAGGTCCCAGGGCAGCAAGGAGTGCAGCCCCTCGAGTGCCCCCTTTTCTGCTCCAGGCTGCAGCGGCCATCAACCCCGTCACTACCAGCGTCGCTTCTCGACCCCCACGACTTGGGAACTGTGCTAGGTGGTCACAGGGGTCAGCCTCGCCCCAGCACGCCCGCCCCAAGTGGCTGCCCTAGCTAAGCCCCGCCTCCTGTGGGCCCGCCCCTGGTCAAGCTCCACCCTCAGCCTGGCCAAGCCCCGCCCCCGCCCCGTCAAGGCCCTATCCCAACTGGCCCCGCCCCCGTTTGCCTGCCCCAGCCAAGCCCCGCCCCTGCCAGGCCCCGCCCCGCCCCGCGCGCGCTCCCGCCCGCCGCTATGAATGGAGACGCGCGCTCCCGGCGCCCGGGGCGCCCGCAGGGTCGGAGAGGCCGAGGCCGCACCGCGGGCTACCTCGGAGCCGATCATGTAGAACTCGCCGTCGTCCTCCAGCTGGAACTTGACGGGCTTCTGCCCGAAGGTCTTGCTCAGCGCCATCATCATCATCGCGGCGGCGGAAGAGGGCGGCCGGAGCCGGGCTGCGAGGAATCGCGAGGCCTGGGGCGGGGCCCGGGCGCGCCAAGCCGAGGGGCAGCGGAGGCCAAGAGGCGAAGGGCGGGCCGGGCGCGCGTGGCCACCACAGCACCGGGCTCCTCGGACGCCGCCGCCGCCGCCGTCGACGACCAGGCCGCCCTCAGTGCGCCTGCGCGGGGGCTGACGCTGACGCCGACGCGCGCGCCGCCGCGCAGACAAAAGGCCGCGCGCGCCCCCACCGACCCCCTTAAAGGAACCACAGCCCCATTTCTCTGGCTTCCCGGGCTGCCTCCTAAAGTCGTGGTCCACAGCAAATCTTCTCACGGACAGAAATAGCCACTGAGGCCTTGACTCACGCAGTGACTTTGCAAGTCTCACGGCCAGGCCTGGAACAGAGCCCAGGAGGGAAGGAATGAACTAAGGCTCGGTGTCCCAGCAGAAGGACGCAGCTCCCCTGAATGGTCTGTCTGGTCAGCCCACCCTGAAGCCCATAAACCCAGTTCCAAGCTCACAGCTGCGCCTGCGGCTTTGGGCACGGGTAGAAATGACAACACTGGGTGGGGGCTGGCACGAGCGAAAACTCAGAGATTTGGCAGTGTTCACAGGCCCAGGTGCTGTTTGGTTTGGCTGGCACATCAGATGGGCCTTGGAAGGGAGCGATGCCTTCTCCCTGAGCTGCTGAACTCCGCACTCTGCAAGACCAGCCCTGACCTGCTATTGCTCCACGGCACCTAGAGCCTGGAGCCAGCCGGGACCAGCACTGCAGAGAAGAGCTGGCTGAACAATGTAGCGGATTCAGAACAACCCACGGAAGGGGCAGGTGTTTGGCACAGTGGCTCGGCTGGAGTCCTACCTCCTGGCTCTGCTAATTGCAACGTCCTACTAATGCACATCCTGAGATGGGCTCCAGTGCATGGGGTTCTGCCATGCGTGTGGGAGAGCAGGGTAGAACTCCTTCCTGGCTCCTGGCTTCAGCCCTGCCCAGCCTCAGCTGTTGTAAGCATTTGAGGGAAAGTGAACCAACAGATGGAAGATCTCTGCCTTTCCAATACCGTTGTAAAAAATATATATATTTTTTTATTGGAAAGGCAGATTTATAGAGAAAGGGAGACAGAGAAAGATCTTCTATCCATTGAGCTTCTTCTGGGTCTCCCACGTGGGGGCAGGATCCCAAGACTTTGGGCCATCCTTGACTGTTTTCCCAGGATATAAACAGGGAGTTGCATGGGAAGTAGAACAGCCAGGACACAAACTGTCACCTATATGGGATCCTGGTGCTTGCAGATAGAGGATTAGCCCACCAAACCACAGTGTCAGGTCCCGATGCTTTTTTTTTTTTTAATGGAAAGAAAAACCCCAGTACTGACCATTGCATAATTCCATATGGTTCAGTCTGATAAAACTGCAGTTTCAAATGGCAGGTACAATTTTGGAGCAGACGCAGGTGTGGCTGGGAGCTTAACTGCCACTGTGGAGTTAAGAAAGGCCACGAAGGGCCCGGCACGGTGGCCTAACGGTTAAAGTCCTCGCCTTGCACACGCCGGGATCCCATGTGGGCACCAGTTCTAATCCCAGCAGCCCCACTTCCCATCCAGGTCCCTGCTTGTGGCCTGGGAAAGCAGTCGAGGACGACCCAAGGCCTTGAGATCCTGCACATGTGTGGAAGACCCAGAGGAGGAAGTTCCTGGCTCCTGGCTTCAGATCGGCTCAGCACCGGCTGTTGGTGGTCACTTGGGGAGTGAATCATCAGACGGAAGGTCTTCCTCTCTGTCTCTCTTCCTCTCTCTATATATCTGACTTTCCAATAAAAATAAATCTTAAAAAGAAAAGAGAGGCCTCGGAGCAGTGGGTTCTGTTCCTGGACCTTTCCCCGCAATGATGGGAAACCAAAGATTTCAGGATAGGGACAGGCGCGTTGGCAAGATCAGATAAAATGACCATCCCTCTAGTGCTGAACTGGGGAGGGGGCGGGAACCAGTTAAGAAGCCACCGTAGGTGTTAAGATGGAGAAGTAACCCAGGAGAGGCCCCTGAGCCAGACCCTCCCCTGTTCCCTGCTCCCTGGCTGCACAGTTACAAAAGAGAGACCAGGCAGGCAGATAGAAAATAACCATGTTTAATAACCATTCAGTAAAAAAAAAAAAAGGCTCTGTACACACTGTACAAGCATTTACATGGCTTTGGAGAACACCAGTGCTGGAACGGAACGAGGGAACTGGGGATCTGGCCCCGCTCCCAGGGTCAGGATTGAGGTATGTTGGGGTTGCCAGGCCCAAAATCTCTGGCAGGAGGAATCCTACTCCCGTCCCCACCCAGCAGCAGGTAGAGGGACCTCTGGATCTGCCTCCCAGGGAGTAGGGTTCTGAGGGTCACTAGCCGGAAGCCAACCAGGTCCAAGCACCAACCCAGAGCTCTAGGAAAGGCCTCTGGTGCTGTGGTCCTTCCGGAAGGTGAGAGGAAGGCCCTGGGGAACCCCTAGCATCCCTGTTCTGGTACAGTGCCTCACAGAAACCTCACAGCAGGGCTAGGAGGATGCCTCAGATCCCCCAGCCTGGCTGAAGTCCTACCCTGAGGGTTGCAGGTACAGGGGGAGGACAGCCAGGGTTGACCATGACCTGCACAGGTGGGACAGGTCTGCCCTAGGACTGCCCTCACCCCTCAAGTAATACCACCCCCTTCCCTACCCAGTCTGAGACAGTCAGTTGCTGGTAGGTGACCACGACCCGCGTGGCCCTCCCTGCGGTTGTCGAGGTGACTACACCCCTGAGGATACTGAGGGTGCCATCCTGTGCTTGGCGCCCAGAGCCACAGATGACCACCGAAGCGTTCCAATGTCAGCAACCTGGCAGGAGTCAGCAACCTCCAGGGCCATCCAGGCTGGCTGGGGTCAGCGGAAAGTGTTGGCAGGCTCGGCACAGTCGAAGAAGTCGGAGCTCACCAGACGGGGGAAGCCCTCCACTGCCTTTACCTTCACAGGATCGAACTTCCAATAGAGGCGGCCACGCAGGAAGTAGGCATAGCCTGGAGGAAGAGAAGTTAAACTGCGGCCCTGAGCCCAGGGAATGGGCATGGGGTAGGACTGGGCAGGCAGGCTGTGGCCACTGCTGAGTTCTCTGGACACCTGCAGGCTCCAAGGACAGCTGACCTTCTTCTCGAACCTTCCTCACAATCCCTTCCTGCTCCCAGAAGCCTCCTGTCTAGAGTCTGGTCTAGTGAAAGACCCCATGTGGCAATCACCCCAAACCTCAAGGAACCCCCCAATGGGGGGTAAAAGAGGGTTTACAGGGAAAAGAATTCTGGTCTGAGAGTCCTGCCCTGGCCCCTGAGCAAAGCCAGGTGACTCAATAATAACAAGAAGCAGGTTTCCCCAACACCAGGTGGGAGTTCTAGCTCTACCCACCTCATCCCTTTCTGTCTGCCTGACCATCCCCAGTGAGGGACCTCATTGTCCAAGTCTCTGCGTCTCTAGAAACTGGGCTCGTAGCAGGTGCAGTGTCAGGGGGCTCATCCGAGAACTGCATGAGGAGGAATGTAAGGCACTAGCGGCTGTGCCCCGGGCAACATCGGACTTTGGCTGAGACCAAGAGGTCTGGGTGAGAGAGACCCTCATCCATGATCCTGGATATACAGGACATGTCCAAGGAGAGGAAGGAACACATGGGAAAGATGCCAGACCTCCAAACCTATGGTAAAGAACGGGGCTCCTCCTGAGGTCCCCCCCACCCAGCGGACCCAGACACCACTGCGACTGTCCCCAGCCCCGGCTCCATGCCCAACATACCATCGGCATCCTGGAAGGCAGCATCAATCTCTGAGGGCACACCTCGCCAGTCCGTAGCCCGGCGGGGCACAGGGCTTTCCACACGCCGGGTGGTTGGGTAGAAACGCCAGTAGTCCCCGCCACGGAAAAAGTAGACTTTGTTCTTCTTGGAACCCCAGACCAAGGCGGCATGGATTTGGGATTCCAACAGGCCCAGCTCAGAGAGGGATGCAGGACCCAGGACTGGTTTTTCACCGTCGTACACCCAGTACTGAGCACCTGCCAGAAAGAGGTTGGGGAGAGGAGTTGCCTGGCCAGCACAGCCATGCCAGGCACCACTATGGACACTACAAACCTCTGTTTCCTAGTTGGCAAAACATACGGAGCCAAGGATGCCTGCTCAGCAGTGCCGCCCCCAGGGGGAGGCAGAAACCCACAGGAATGAGCTGGACCCAGCTGACCTCAAAGTACCTCGTGGCTGGGTAGCTGGCGTCAACCGAAGGCTGCCGAGACTGCCACTTCCCTCCCCTGGCACTTGGCTGCCTGTGGCAGGGGCCTGCAAGCCATTCCCCAGGCCCCTGCCCATCCTGCTGCAGGAAGTCCCTGGCCACCACAGAACACAAAGGTCTCCGGAGCTATGTCCTCAAATGAATGTCTTGGCCCGTGTGGTGACTTTGAGGGTTGAATGCGCCAGCCCCAGCCCTCCTATATGACCTTGACTTCCAGAGCCACCTCTGCTGGGGACTTCCCAGCTGTCCCCAAGAGTAGACACCAGTCTCCCCTGACCCAAGCCTTCAAGAAGAGGAAAAGGGAGGGGGGCTTGTTCCCTGCCAGAAGTGTTGCTGGGATACATCTGGCTGTCCCTTACGCTTGGCCATGACCTGCCTGGCTCTGAGAAGCCTCTTGAACCAGACCTTTCCCCATCCCAACCCTGTCCTCACCTTGGAAGAACCAAATGTGACCCTGAGCATCCTCAAAGGCCGCGTCCACAGGGCTGGGCAGTCCCTGCCAGTGGCGAGAGGCCAGAGCAGGGTAGCCTGGCTGCAGCCGGCCCCCGCGCAGCCGCCACACGAAACCCGCTTTGAAGAAGAACAGCTCTCCTCGGATGGTGGCTGCTGCATCAAAGAAGGAGGCCTCGCAGGCGTCTACGGGAGCTTCTGGCTGCGGGCAGTCAGGAGACGGGGGAGGAACCTAAGCTGCAGTCAGAGTCCAGCAGGGGGCAGGGGGCTAGAGGCAGGGCGCCCCCCTTCTTGAGCCTCACCTCCAACGGAGCAATCTCATTGGTATCCATCCCAGCCCGGGGGCCCAGAGCAGGGGTCTTGGAGGTGGGGGCTGGCTGGGGCCGCCCATACAAGTACTGGATGCCCCTGCGGTCATCTGGGCTGAGGCTCAGCGGGTATCGGAAGGAATAGAAAGGGGACATCAGCGCCTTAGCTGCGGTTGTGTGCTGCAGCCCCAGTACATGGCCAAATTCATGGGCTGCCACCTGCAGCAGATCCGTGCCTGGAAAAGGCAAGTGAGTCAGGAAACCCCTTGGTATATACCTCCTGCCACAAGCCCAGACCCCAGTAAATCCCATTCCCAGTCATCTCCAGCTCTCCCTCTCGGCTTCCCAGCCCATACCCTCGTTGTCCCCAATGGTCCAGGTCTCGTCATAGTCGAAGTGGACGTCCCCTTCTCGGTGGGTCTTGGGAAAGAAGGCATGAGCCAGGATGCCCCCGGGCCCATCAAAGGGCAAATTGTCCCCATGCCAGTACCTGTAGGTGGATGAGGGGGCAGAATCAGTGGCTGTTGTCAGGCAGGGCTTGAGTCTGGAGGGGGTCTCAGGCTGCCGGGTCACCTGGTGAAGTCGATCATGATGTCGGCACGGCCCTCGTGCACCTCAGTGAAGGTGAGTGGTGTCACCTCGCTCCATACCTGGAGGGCTTCTGCCACGGTCTGCCGTACCTGCTCCCGCACCAGCTGCCATGGGAAACGCAGGATCCTGAGGGGGAACAGGGAGAAGGCAGGTGGAAAGGTCCAGGTCTTGTTCGAGGCTTCTCTGATACTCTGTGGGTGTCTGGTTGACTCTAGGCTCACAGCCAGGTGTGCTGTGGAACTCAGCTGTAGTGCCTTGTGTAGACTTTGGTGTATACATTTGGTGCAGAGAATATAGGACCAAAATTGTGAGACCGTGTTCTACACTGGGTGGCGCTATTCATCGTGGAGGTCTGGTGGCCCCTTGAGCCTCACCCAGAAAACACCTTAGGCCCCCCTCCTTAGAGCTTGGGCTGCAATGCAGTATGACACCAGACTGTCCTTTCTCGTGGACTATTTAAGTGTCGGTTTTGTCACCAGCTGCCCAGCTTCTTCCAGTGTCACCTAACCCTGCTCACCTCATGCCCAAAATGCAATACCGCATTTGAGCAATTCATACTTCTAGGAGGTCGGACTATGTCTCACATACCTTGGAGTCCCCAGGGCCTGGTCCTTGCCAATGTCAACACTAAAGGCCACTTGAGTGGCTGAACATGTGTCTGTCCCCAGGCAAATGTTGAGACCGTTGGTGGTGACACAGGCCAGCCAGTTAACAGGCCAGGTTTTTGCCTAAGCTAGGCTCTCAAGGTAGCTGGTGGGTTGTGAGTGGGGAGAGGTGGTCCAAGGCACAGGGAGCAGTAGATCTTCCCTGATGCCTCACACCTCAAGAAGCAGGTGTGAGGGTGGCAGGCACACAGAGTCCCATGACCCCTGTCCGTTCCCTACCTATAGGTGAGATCCGTCTTCTCCCAGCGCCCGCCGGACAGCACAAACCGCTTCTGTCGGTTACGGGCATTCAACCCATCTGGTGGGTCTGGCACACCACAGCGAGGAGGCCTGGGGCTGCCAGAAGGCTGGGTGCTCTCCCTGGCAGCAGGCACGGGAGCCAGGCTACCGTGTAGAGCTGCGTGCCAAGGCTGGGGCTCTCTCCTCCCAGGGTGACGATGGTGGGCGTCCTGGGCAGGAGAGAGAACGTGAGGGTTTGGTCTAGCCTTAGACCTCCTCAAAGCATCAGGCCACCTCCGGCCCCTCCTGCAGGGACCCTGGGATAGCATCGTCACTGGCATCACATGGGCCAGTGAGGTTTAGGAGGGGAAAATCCTGAGAATGGGCATCACGACACCCTGAATCCCAGACTGTACTGTCCGTACACACCCAAGAATAGGCTCCTCAAAGAGAGGATATAAGTCAATTTCATTCTGTTCCCCCACATCGCCCTCTGGTAAACTCATCTCCGCTAAGCTTAGGCACAGCTAGGTCAGCACAGTGGGTTACCCTCCGCCAGTACAGGGAAAAGGCTCAGGATGCCCCGCCCACTTCTTGTAGGGAGGCGGGGCTGCAGCCCCTGCACCTAGCCTGGGGGCCTCACCTGTCTTAACAGGGTGATAGCTTCTCCCTTCTTCTTCACACAGACAGGGAGGGAAGGACCAGTCTGGGGACCTGTTGCAGTCCCAACATGGACCGGAAAGGCCCCTCTTGACCTGCAGCACAGCTTCCCGCCCCCTGCAGGTGCCAGGGAGCAGAGCTGGATATACATGAAGAAGCAGCTCAGACAGTCTGCCAGAGCCCTCAAGATCACTTGCGAGGACCCTGGAGTCCCTGACAAACCTCAAGGGACTGGGGAAATGGGGGGGGGAGAAGCAGTGACGAAAGCCAAGCCTCTTTCCTGTGTGCAGAGGGGTTGGGCATCTGCTCGGGTCAGGGACTGTCCTATCTGGGCAGCTGCAGCCTCCCCAAGGCTATATTTGGGGGCAGAAGCCTGGGAGAAGGGCCCCACCCCCAGCCTCTGGCGGCCCTCCCAGGATTCCGATCCCTGCAACTTGTGTTCCTTGGGGAGCCCAGAGCCAAGTAGACTCCAGAACTTTAGAACACTCCACTCTGGAGGGGCTGTCTGGTTGGGGGACTTGGGGACTCCTTGGCGTGCAAGTTCCCCCCATGTCTCTTCCCAGACAGAACAGGTTTTGGCTTCATCTGATTCTGGACTGTTACTAAGCAGGTTGCCAATCTGCAGGCTCCCACCCCCACCCCGTTACAACCCGCCAACCAGTTGCAACCCGCCAACTCATCATGCCCATTTCTCAGATGAGCAAGTGCAGCCCAGAAGCCTGCAAAGTACCTTCTGCACGCCACCACTGGCAGGCAACCCGCTCCCTGCCTGTTAACTCTGCTGCGTGCTTTAGGAGTTGAGCTATCCCAGGCTGGCCTCATGATGGTGACAGAACAAGAACAAGGAGGAATCGTCAAGCACCTGCTCCTCCCAGGCACTCTGTGGGCAGGGTCTTGAACTTCCATGCAGATCCAGGGTGGGACACTACGCATGTGCAAAGACCTGGTGGGTCTGCCCCTCCTTTTTGCACACTCTCCCTCCTACTTACAGCCCCAGCAGGGGTGGGGACCCTTTGGGGAAGGATAGAGCTGTATTCTCCAGAGAGCATCCCTCCCCCCCACAAAACCCCAGAACCTGCTGGCTCTGGATGTGCCCAAGAGGAGAATCTCCTCTCTTTTATGCTCCCTCCCACCCCTGCAAGCGAGGTGTGGGTAGGTGTGGGTCACGGACACTCCTGCACATACCCTCACCCTCCTTTTCAGTCCATGGGCAGACCCCTGGATCGCAGCACTTGCAGGACAGTATAGTGTAATTCGAATGGTTGGCTTTAAGCCCATCTTTTGAACAGCTGTGGGCCTCGGTCTGTTCCACATTCCCTGAGCCCATGGATGTCATTCTCTTCTGGCTTGGAGCCTATCAGATAGATGGCCGACCCGCAAGGCTTGGGCTGAAGCCGATTCCCAAAGTGGGTTTGTGCATGGTTTTTCCAGGATTTGGGGATTCGGTGAGGGACATAGACTACCTCGGGAAGTAGCCATCCTCATCCCATTTCCTAGAGTAGGAAACAGAGCCCAGAGAGATCAAGGACGTTGCCCAGGGTCACACAGCAAATTAGCTCTGTGCTAGGTCTGGACCAGGGCCTCATCCTTCCCACCAACACCCTCTCCATGCCACCTCCCTTGGCTAATCTCCAAAATCACATTCCTGGGAGGTGCTTCCAGGGCATTCCCTTCTCCTCCTCCTCCTTGGCCACTAGCCTTGCTGGGCCTGCCCTGTGCTAAGTAGGTGCCTGACGGGCTCAGCCCCACCTGCCCCTGGTCGAGGAATTTCTCCCTCAAGCCAGCCTCCTGGCAGAGCTCAGAGGTTTGAGGTCAGCCTCTGGGCCAACTTCCAGTGCTGAAGATAGGAGACACCCAGGAGGGAGATAAGCGAGGAGGGCCAACACGAGGCTAGCCCGGGAGACTCCTGGGTGAGGGGCCAGGCTAGACCCATCCTTCTGTGCGGGCAATGGGGTACCATCAACCATAATTACCAGTAATTATCAATTAGCCAGCAGCGCCTTCTGCTCTCCTGAGAGGTGACCCTGAGAGAGCGCCTGTGTTAGGCTGTGAGGGAGTTGGGATCATTCAGAGATGGCAAACCACCTGCCCATGTCATACAGCCAGTGTGCAGGCAGGCTTATCGCCTTCCCTCCACTTCCAGCTAACAGTCCCCTGGCCACTCCTCCCCCTGCCGGCTCCCAGGAGAGGCAGCGCCCCAGGGTGGTGGCGAGCCTCTCAACAGCCCTGAAAGCCCGGGAGCTAGGACGGATAAATATTTACAGAGCTCTCCCGCCCTGCTGACGGCAGCTCAGAAATAAACATGTCGGAGGCGACCCCAGATGCTCCCCGTATGGCTGCAGGGTGACAGGCAACACCCCGCGATCTGGCCCTTAGCCCTGGCACTGGGCTCCACCCAAGTGTCAAAGTGGCAACTACAGGTGTCAGGGTGTCTCCAGGGTGCTTGGCATCTACTTGGGTAAGTCCTCCATGCCCAGCAGTAGGCACCGTTGTCCTCCCCTCCCCCTGCTGCAGATGGAGCCAGAAGAGGGCTCACCCCTGTGGTTACAGGGCCCTGAACCCCAACCTCCCCGGGTTCCTGAAGGTATGGGGTTTCACTGCTTCCCTGGCTGTGCTGTTCTCCCGCCCCCTGCATCCTCCCCACCGCTGCCTGCAGCCAGATTCTAGGGGATCAAGAGAGCCTCTAGCTTGAGGTACCCCTCATCAGCTCTACCCCCCACCCATCCAATCCCATTCTACTTTCATAGCCCAGCCCAGGCCGGGCTGGCCCAGAGGATGGCCAGTGTAACTGGACAGCCTCATCAGGATTCCTATCAGGAGGCCTATCAAAGCCCTCACTCTCCCACTGAGCTAGCTGGCCGAGTGTCTCTAACCACAGAGACAAAGTTGGCTGCCCTGTGTAACTGGCATTTGAAGCCCCAGGTGGCACGAGGGTGCGGTTGTCACTCCATCCCTGGGGACAATCCCTCCTCACTTCATTTTGCCACTTTCTCTTACCTGGCTTTCCCGCAGGGCAGACACTTTGTTCCATCCCTTCCTTAACCACGGGAGGGTCTCAATTTCCCACTCGAAGTCACCCCTGCCTTCTGCCCCCCACCTCATGTCACACGTGCGTGCTCACACACACACACACACACACACACACACACACACACACACACACACACACACACACACACACACTGCACTCACACTGTCTCAATCTAAGGCTCTAGTGGGAGTGCTAAGTTTCCCTACTCTGCCACTTGCAGGTGCCTAGGGAGGCGACCGGGTCAGCACCTGGCTCCTCCCTGCTCCAGGTCCCTCCCACACCAGGAGCCGCGCTCTCCGGCTTTCCGTGCCACACACCTGGAGGCTGAACCTGCGCCCTGCCCGGCTTTGTCCCTGTGATGAATAGGGGGCCCTGTAAGCCACTCCCCAGTCCGATCTCGCCAACCGCACACTCCCGCATCACAGCGGGGGTGCATCCGCGCGTAGGATCCCAAGCTGGGAAGGGGGCGTGGGTGCAGCGCTCCCACCCCCGCCTGCGCCCCAGCCCTAGCGATCCCCTCGTGCAGCCTCCAACTTGCACACCGCTGGTGATGGGAAGCTCACTATCTCTCACGCCAACCGCCCCTATTCATACACACGCGGCTCAGAAAGAAAGCGTTTTGGGTAGCAGCTGCGCCAGTCTACCCTGAGCGCACCCCATCCCCCCAACACCGTGGGTCCTGATCTCCCGCTGGGCCCAGCTGCGTGCTGGGCAAGGTGCAGCCGGCCGGCGACGGACACTCACCGGCGGCCGGGCCCGGGCCAGCAGCGGCGGCGGCAGCAGCAGTAGCAGCAATAGTGGGAGCAGGAGGGCGCGCAGGGACGCGCTGCGAAGCCGGGCGGCCCGAGCCATCCGCCCCGGGGCTGCTGGGCCTGCTGGGCCGCGCGGGGCCGCCGCCCCTTATAGCCTCCGCCCCGCCTCCGGTCCGCCCGGCCCCGCCCCCCGCCGCCTTTTGTTCTCCCCGTGGCCGCCAACGCCAGGGTGGGGGAGGTGGGGCCCCAGACTGGCCGGCCCCAAGGGGTCGGGAGCTGACGACAGGGTACTGCCTGCTGAAGCCGGCTGCTAGGTGATCGTGCCAGCTGTGGCCACCTGCAGCCTCAGTTTCCCCGCTGGACCGGGGTGGGAGGTGTGTAAGGGGCGTAGGGAGTCAGCCTTAACCTTGCAGATATAGGAATCGGGCTTCAAGCCTCCCCCAACTCGCTGCCCTCCCCCCTATGTTGAAAAAGGGCCTGGGGTTGGGTCTCCTTAGTGACCTGACCTCTGACCTGCTGCGAGCCTGTGACAGGTGGTCTCGGCCGGGGGGAGCAGGCTTGCCCACTCGTCAGAATCAGGTTCCTTCACAACAAAAAGGGGTGGAAAAGTTATTCCAGGGAAAACTGCTGGCTGGCAGAGGTTAGGAGCAGAATCCTAGCCAGCTCACAGATGGGAAGGTTGAGACTCCTGGAGAGAGAGGCCAGACTTTCTCCCACACCAGCAGGACATTCAGTGGATGGCTGGGAGAAGGGTGCTGGCTGTGCAGTCTTTGAGAAGCATGGGAGTGGGGACAGCGGAGGTCATAAGCTGTCCCCTAGCCAGGGAGGGCCCAGCGGGGAGAGGGAGGAGGCAGGGGTGGAAGGAGAGGCACCCTGAAGGAATTTCTCTCCAGTCCTGTGGGACATCCTTGTGACGTGGGGAGCTTTCCCTCCGCCACCAAGTGGTCTCGACCCCTGTCTCCCATAGCCCTCCGGACTCGAGATTCTGGCTGTAGCTCCCATGCTGTCAGGCTGGGTCCTGAGCTGCTGCCAAGAGCAGGCACCCCAGCCTGGGCATCCTAAAGGAAGACTCCACAGAGACCCCTAGAGGACTAGTCTGGGAAAGACAACAGAAAGCTTCAACACTTAGACATGCCAGTCTATTTAAGAAGTGACTTAATTTATCTCCTTTTAATTTTCAGGGTTTTTTTTTTTCTTTGTAATTTTAAAGATGTATGCATTTATTTAAAAGACAGAGTCTCAAAAGAAGAGAGAGTTCATCCATCTCCTTGTATACGCTGGTTCACTCCCCCAAGTAGTCACAAAGATGAAGAACTGAGCCAGGTGGGAGCCAAAAGCATGAAGCTCCATCTTGGTCTCCCCCTTGGATGACAGGGACCCGTGGGCTTGGGCCATCCTCCGCTGCTTTCCCAGGCGCATTAACAGTGAGCTGAATTGGAAGTGGAGCAGCCAGGATTCCACCCAGAACTCATATGGGAATGCTGACATTGCTGGAGGAGGCTTAACCTCCTATGTGATAACACCAGCATCAGTGAGTCACTTTATTGGAACTTTGTCTTTTATTGGAAAGTCAGGTACACAGAGAGGAGGAGAGACAGAGAGGAAGCTCTTCTGTCTGATGATTCACTCCCCAAGTGGCCGTAATGGCCAGAGCTGAGCAGATCCGAAGCTGGGAGCCTGCCGGAGTTCAGCTCCAACTGATTTCGGAGCTCGAGAAGGGTGTGAGGCATCGGAGAAAGGAAAAGCCACAGACGCTGTCTCTTGGTGCCCTCTTGTAACAGCTCAAGAAGAAGCTGTCCTTTTTATTTGCTCAGACACATCACAAGCCTCTGCACAATCGTTTGACCTGTTTTTACTTTCATGACTAAGTGGGTATGCACGGATGTTTGATTATTTCATTTTTTACTTCATGGTCAACCAGGTGCTCTTAAAGATAATTCTGTAAGTTATCATAATCATTTTCTTCAAAGCAAGCCATTGTTCATTCTTCAGTAGTAGCCACTGGGTGACAGCCAGGACTCCAAGGCCAAAGCACACGCGATTACTTGCTAATCAGTAATACATTCTTCCTTATTTCTATTTCCACAACTTGCCCATCATTTAATGGGAGAAAAATGTTGCAAGGGAAAACATGTAAAAATCCAAGGCGAACATTTCAAATATTAAACCCTCCTACAATTACAGGCTCTATAACTCCATAAACAATCAAGCAACAATTAAACATGTATCTCCATAATATTAATAAAAGCATCCTTTAATTCTTGTAGCCAAAAATTCCATAAGAGGCTAAAACAGCTACATTTCCTATGCTCCAAAGAAATTGCAAAAACAGGCCAGCCTTTAAGATCACAGTAACTGTATTTATTGCCATAGCAATTTCAGCTCATACCCCTGTCACGTTCACTAATATTTAGGATATTTGTCAAGCACTTTTCTAGAAGGTGTGCTACATGTCTGAGCCAGATTCCGGGGCAATGGCTACGCATACAATAAATTGTACTCCTGTGTGTAGTTGAAGGCCCCACTCACCGAGACATTATCAGCAACATTCACTCCCAAGCTCACATCAGTGGCAAACCCATCTCACAGGGGCAAACAGCAATGCCTCAATAGGTTACAGAATTCCTAGCGGGGTGGTTGAGTGTCCATGCAAAACGGGGTGAGACTGACAAGGTGGTTGGAAAGACGTCATCTGGGCCTTCCCAAACAGCTGGAAGCTCCTCTAACAGGGGAGTTGTTCTCTTCACACCTTTGTGTCATCCACACCCACTGCACGGACCCCAGCAGGATCCAAGAGCCTTTTCTGGGTCTCCCACACGGGTGCAGAGTCCCAAGGCTTTGGACCGTCCTCCACTGTTTTCCCAGGCCACAAGCAGGGAGTTAGGATGGGAAGTGGAACAGCCGCGACATGAACCAGTGACCGTATGGGATCCTGGTGTGTACAAGGCGAGGACTTTAGCCATTAGCTTACCATGCCAGACCCTAAATTATGCTTTTCATTGCTTGTTTCACTGTCATCTTAGCCATGTTGCTTAAGAACTCATGAGCTTTGGGTCAGTGTCATGATATATTTGTCAGAGCCGCCACATGGGACACAGGCAACCAGGACAGGTTCTTGTCCTGGCTACTCCACTTCCCATCCATTCCCTGCTAACGCACCTGGGAAAAGCAGTAGAAGATGGTTCAAGTGTTTGCGCTCCTGCACCCATGTGGGGAGATTGTTTAAGGGTAAAAATATCAATTATATCATTGCTTGTGCTTGCCCAAGCCGCGGAAGCCAGCGGCCGATTTTGATGCGAAAAGGGAAGAGGAGAGTCGTGGAAGTCCACTCTTGGGGTCCTTCCCCAGGGCGGCTCTTCCAGGTTTTAGTCTGGTGTAGATTCCGAAGCCACGCGGGTGCGTTGGGAGGGAGGCAGTGGGACGGGGGCGGGGACGTGAGACATGCAGGCAGAGGCTGGTCAGACCCCTAGTCACCTCGCGACAGCCCCTTGCCCTGCTCCACAATGATGCTTACAAGGAGTGGGCCCCGTCGTCCTCGCTGGAGTCCGTGCTGCTTGGCGGTACTGGCCTCCATCCCCAGCGCCCAGGCACGGTGGACCCCGAGCCTCGGAGTCCGGGAGATCGGGAAGGGCGCCGGGGACGCAGGACCTGCCACCGGGCACCGAGGCGCCTCCTCCCCGGGGCGTGTCCCCGAGGTCCGCCCCAGTTCCGCCCCGTGCGCCCGCGGGGACCTGCGCCGCTGCCCGCGTCCTCCAGGCAGATCCTCTGCGACCGTCACCGTCTCTGCGTCTCCCTGACTACGTCCCGCCGCCATGCCCCGGGGAAGCCGCAGCATGGCCGCCAGGCCAGCCAGGTGTGTGTGTGTGTGGGGGGGTGTCCGGGGCAGGCGAGCCGTGGGGAGGGAGCAGGGGGCTTGGGCAGCTCGGACACTCCGCGCAAGGGCAACGCTTAGAATGACCTTGGTTGCTACTGCGCCATCTTGACAGGGATGGGGGCGGGGAAGGGCAGGGGTGCAGCCACCATGTGCCTAGGACTGGAGGGGGGACTCGCACCTTTTGCGGGGGAGTATGGAAGAAGGGTTACAAACCCATCCGGCCTTTGACCTGGAGGATCAACTTTGTTTTCCCTGTCCCTCCGCCATCCCCACAGCCGTCCAGCCGCCGCGCACCCACCTGCGCACCCGCCGCCCTCCGCTGCTGCCCCGGCCGCGGCCCCGTCGGGCCAGCCGGGCCTCATGGCGCAGATGGCATCTACGGCGGCGGGGGTCGCCGTGGGCTCGGCTGTGGGGCACGTGGTGGGCAGTGCGCTGACCGGAGCCTTCAGCGGGGGAAGCTCAGAGCCGGCCCAACCTGTCGTGCAGCAGGTGAGCGGCGGTGGGCTCAGAGAAACTCAAGGTCATCTACGGAGCACTGCGGTGTCCAGTGAGGTGTGCCCCAGTTAGTCTAGGACTTTGTCCATGGCTGGCCCTGCCTCTGCCTGCCGAGTTGGTTTGTTCTCACAGGCAGGCTCTCCCAGCCCCTCCCCTGAAAGCCAGACCTCCTAGGCTTCTAGGAGTGGACAGCAGTCAGTCCTTTAGCAACTCAGGCCCAGAGAGACTGACAAGGTCAAGTAGGGGGAGATATGTTGAATTTCCTAAGCCCTTATCCTCCCTGCACTGCAGCCTTGGGCTCAAGGGCAAAGGGCTGGCAACCTGGAACCAGACCTGTTGTGTGATGACCTGCGTCCATGACCCTCCCTCCCCCACCGCAGTCCTGTGAACCAGATGGGGCTTCCAGGTTGGATCAGGAGTCTTGAATGCCACTGAACCAGGAAAGCTGCAGGAATTTGTGTGGGTAGAGAAGTAGGCTTTTCTAGAACCATCTCTTCCTCCCTCCTACATACCCTTGAAGAGGCAGTGGGGGCAAGGTTGTGGAGGCGGCTGCTGGCTCACTCTATTTCATAGAAGGAACAGCTGCCTAGGGGAGGGGACAGGCAGCTCCCCAGCTTTTGGATTCTCCTCAACTACCATCCCAGAACTGATCCTGCTGCCTCTTGGACTGTACCCCCCAGGCCCCGGCCCGTGCTGCTCCGCAGCCCCTGCAGATGGGGCCCTGCTCCTATGAGATTAAACAGTTTCTGGATTGTTCCACCACTCAGAGTGACCTGTCCTTGTGCGAGGGCTTCAGCGAGGCCCTGAAGCAATGCAAGTATAACCATGGTGAGTGGGCAGACCCTGACCCCCTGGGGGAAGGGAGCGGGAGGGTAGGGGGCAAAAACCTCCAGCACCTGTGCTTGCCCACTCACACCTGCCTTGTTCCATCCCTCCCTCCCTCCCCCCTGCAGGTCTGAGCTCCCTGCCATGAAGAGGCAGACCCTAGGCCAGCTCTGAGATGGCTCCTGGGCCACATCCCTGAATCCCCAACCATCTCACCGACAGCTGGATCACGATGCCAGATTGTACCCACCATGTCCCTGGGATGGGCAGTGAAGGAGGGGTTTCTTTTACCCACGATAGTCCGAGACATGAATGTGCAATGAAAAGAGTTTATTTTAGACTGTAACTGGCTGCGTGCTTTCTCACTATCTTGTCTGCTGGGACCACTGATGAGGAAGAGAGGAGATGTCCCTTGGTTGGGGGGATGTTCCCCTTAGCAGGTGTCATGGGTGGTGGGGGTGGGGGGAGCCCTATTGTCATTTGTACCATGGGTAACCAAGCGCCAGTGCAAAGTGGGTGGTGAGACATTGGCAGATGACACTCAGCTGTCAGGGATACCCCCACACCTCCTTTCTCCTCCTTGTCTCTCCCCTCAGGATCCCCTTCTCTGCCCTCGACATGTCCTCCTGGCTAGGACCTTGCTCCTCTCCCCCACCCCCTCTTGTGATGCAACTTCTCAGTAAGTGCAGATTGTGCAGGAGGAATCTTGCCTGGCTGCCAGGTCACACAAGGCAGAGGTCATGGCAAACCCCTTTCGGTGCGAGTCCAGCTTGGCCGCCTGGCAGCCTGGCTGAGGTGTACCGGGTCACAGGGTCTGCGTGGGGTCTGCTGGAACAGAAGCACTGACTGATTAAATCCTCGTACACATTGCACTGGTCGTTGAGTACCGGCTATGTGCCAGGTCCCCCTCCACACCTAAGCACTGCCATGCTCTGAGGATGCCAAGGCTCCGACCAGGAAGAGGGGACCCATTTTCTGGCTTGGGGTGGATGGGGGTAGCAGTTGGCATTGGGGTGCATCTCTTCTCAGCTCACGTGTCTCCCCAGGTGTCCCTGTCCTCTCCCATACCTGGCTCCTAACCCCAGCTAGCGCGTCCTGGATGGCAGAGAGCCTGTCCTCCTGGGCCTGGAATTGGGGCCTTGCTCCCGGTGCTGGCCTCTGCTACCACCGCCACCACCACCATGCCGGGTGCTCATGCGCCTCCTCTGGGTGCCATTGCCTGTGGCAGGGAGGCCTGACAGCCTGCGCAGCTCCTCTGGAAGATCCGGGAAGTCCTCCTGGACGAGGGGGCCTGAGGAGAAGTTCTCACCCTCCCACCAGGCACAACCCAGACACTCACCTGCCAGCTCCGGATAGCGCTCATCCAAGTTCTCCAGGAGGGATTCATAGCGGGTGGGGGCCCCGCCTTCCCCCTCTGTGGGGGAGTGGAGAGCACATGAAGGAGTCCAACTGGCCTAATGACCCCAACCTCACCTCTTTGGACATGTTGGCTGGGCAAGGCATAGCTCAGGATGGGAAGGGGCGGGGCACTGGGTAGGGAAGGATTAGGATTAAGCCCTAGCTAAGGACCACAGATCCAGCCCCCTCCTCCCAAGAGGGGAGTTCTTGCATCCCACTTACTGATGACCTGCACCAGGACATAGGTCCCTCGCTCCTGCAGCAGGGAGCTGCCCATGCTGGGGGCAGGGGAAGTCCCCTCCTCCAGGCCTTCCTCCAGGCTCACCAGGTTGCCATCCTCAGCCAGGAGGGCAATGGTTGCTGTGGGCAGGCATTGCATGGAGAGAGGTCCTCCCGGGGCTCAGAGCCCCTAGCCCTGCTGCAGCCCACTTCCTGGCTCCTCACCATCTGGGGGCAGTTGTCCTCTCTGCCTCAGGTGGGCATTAAGGGTCACTAGGCTGCACCAGATGTTCACCAGCTCCTGGCAGCCAGCTGCAGGGAAAGGACTGAGATAGGTAGGAGGGCTCACCTGTTTTTCCCCAATCAAGAACCCTAACCACTCCCTTCCCTGGGGCTGCAGTCTGAGCTATGGGGCTGGGACTGTGCCCAGGCACAATGGCTCAGACTGCTTGGGAGATGTCGGAGGTGGAGGTGGAAGGGTCACTGGGTCCCACGCTGCCCTTCCTGGTGCACCTCTGGCTCCACCCAGCTTCCCACCTGTGGTGGCACACTTCCCAAGGCAACCAATTAGAGCTGCGAGTGTGCCAGCGGAAGCCCGGGATCACCTGAATGGCGGGAGAGCTCAGAGAAGGCTCACTTAGGGTACTTGCTGGCTCCTCCCCAAGAAGGAAGCCCCCCATTCCCTGAACTAATTCCGCTTTCCACTACCACCCGCCCTCCAGCAGCCCACCACCCACTGGAACAAGAAACCCCAGCTCCCCACCATACCTCCAAACATCACTGTGATGAACATGGCTGTGACGGGAGTGGAGGAGGGAGGAAGCTCTCTTCCCCCACCCAGGAAGGACCCGAGGCTTAGCTTCACACAGGAAAGTGGAGGTTGGATGCCTGAATGGGTGGGCTCTGCTCTACCTACCTTCCTTAGTCCCTGCAGCTGGTGCCGGCATCCTGGCCTCCTCCCCCAGCTCCCAAGCTGGTCTCCATAGCACTGGCAGACGCTGAGATGACCAGACAGGAAATGCTTTGACTCTGGTATCCTGGTAACGAGCTTTGGAAGCAGGGAACCAGCAGATCCAGTAATGTCTAGACCTGACCTCTGCCTGTCACCCAACTCCAGGCTACCACCTCGCTGTTGTCACCCCAGTTGGCTTCTTTTTGTTTTTTTTTTTTTCTTGCTAGTCGGGTTTATAATTTACATGTAACAAAATTTGCTCTTAATGTTTACTTTTTAAGATTAAAATTTTTAAAAAAAGTTATTTGAAAGGCAGATGTACAAAGAGAAGGAAAAAGAGATCTACCATTTGCTGGTTTATTCCTCAGGTGGCCAAAACAGCTAGAGCTGGGCCAGTTTGAAGCTAAAGCCAGGAGCGTCTTCCAGGTCTCCCACGTGAATGCAGGGTCCACATGAGTGCAGGGTTCCAAGGCTTTGGGCTGTCCTCGACTGCTTTTCCAGGCCACAAGCAGGGAGCTGGATGGGAAGTGGAGCAGGTGGGATTAGAACCAGTGCCCATATGGGACCCAGTGTGTGCAAGGGAGAACTTTTGTCACCGTCATGTCAGGCCTTGATTTTATTATTATCACTTTTTAAAGAACTTTGTTTTTGCTTTTTCCTGTGCTGATTTAAAAAGCATATTGATTTTAGTGCTGGGTGTGATAGCCTAGTGGCTAAATCTTCATCTTATATCTGCCAGCATCCCATATGGTTGTCGGTTCATGTTCCGGCTGCCCCAGTTCCCATCCAGCTCTCTGCTTGTGGCCTGGGAGAGCAGTGGAGGATGGCTCAAAGCCTTGGGACCCTGCACCTACATAGGAGACCCAAAAGAAGTTTATGGCTCCCGATTTGGGTTGGCTCAGTTCTGGCTGTTGGCGGCCACTTGGGGACTGAACCAGCAGATAGAAGATCTTTCCATATCTGCTTCTCTCTGTATATCTGCCTTTCCAATAAGAAATACGATAAATCTTTGAAAGAAGGAGAAAGAGTGATAGAGAAGGAGAAAATGCTCATCCTTTGGATCATTTTCAAAATGGCCCCAACACCCAAAACTGGGCGCAGGCACTCAGCCTTGGTCTCACCGGGCTGCAGTACTGGAGCCGTCACCTGCTTTTTTTTTTTTTTTTTTAAGATTTCAGAAACCAAGTCACAGAGAGAAGGAGAGAGAAAGAGGTCTTTCCTTCGCTAGTTCACTCCCCAAATGGATGCAATGGCCGAGGCTGGGCCAGTTTGAAAGCAGAAGCCAGGAGCTTCTTCCAGTTCTACCACGTGGATGCAGGAGCCCAGATACTGGAGTCCTTACAAACCCGGAGCCTGAGCTGCAGAAGGCAGCATCCCGCTGTGTAAGGGGCTCACCCTCAGCACCACAGAGATGGCCCAAGGACCCTGGCCCTCTCTGCAAAGCACATGTGGTCCCTATGCCCTGGCAGTTCTTCTACTGGATGTCTGTTCTTAGAGAAGGACAAGACTACGCTCAAGACACTGGCCATGAGGCACACAGCAGTTACAGCCGTTACATCCGCAATGGCCAGACCTGAAAGCATCCACACAGCTAATAACAGGACTGCGGGCTAGCCAGTGGTGACAGAGCTTTGAGCGTGAGTGAGGTATTACTGCACGTGTGGCTGACTCTCACTGTGCTGCTCAAAAGAAGGCAGCAGAAAGGAAGAAGTTGTCCTGCCACTTCTATTTGAAGTTCAAGGGCAGGCAACAAAGCATATAAGGCTAGAAAAGGCAGAGAGATGGCTCCCTTGGGGGCTGAAGGGGTGGGGGCGGTCATTGACTCAGAAACTGCTTGGTGGCGAAGGGGAAGGGGGCTTCTGAGGAGTTGGAAATGTCTTAACACCCGGTCTGTGTAAGAGTGGCAGGTATGTGCATGTGTGTGCATGAAGTACGCGTATGTACTCATACATGCTTTGTGTAATTTTCTCACACTAATGTTAGCTAAACAACAACAACAAAAAAAGCAAATTTCACCTCCTCCCCTACTGTCACTTCACGTGAGGACTTCCGGCCTTCATTTCTGGAAGGGGCCCTGAGGGGCCAGGACCCTGGCCATTGGCCCCGTCCCAGCCCTCCTCTCTCAGTCAGCGGTTGATTTGCATGGCCTGTTATGGTCCAGTGGCCTCATCAGCTCAGTGTCTGGCAGTACCTGGAGAAGCTCAGCAGAAGGAGTCCCCCCACCTGCTGCCTGCCGTCTTGCCTCTGACCATGGCCTGTCTGAGCCTGGTCCTCCTGATGGGGACCTTCCTGGCAGGTGAGCCTTCCCTGGCCCTTCCCTGGGGGTGGGGTGAGGGAAGACAGGAGCTGGCATTGGCCTTGTAAGACCCCTTCAAAGCAAGTAGGTAGGGACAGGGAGAGGGGTCATGGGAGGGGTGGTAATTAGGAGAGGATATCTACTCCAAGTCACTGTAGCCCTCTGGTCATTTTTTTCCCTAAAGTTCATTTATTTATTTGAATGGTAATGACAGAAAAGGCACTCAAGCTTCTATCTGGTTATATTTAAAAAATATTTATCCGAAGATTGTATATATCACATATATAGAGATCGATCTTCTAACCACTGGCTTACTGCCCAGATAGCCACAACTGCCAGTGGTGGGGTAGGAGAAAGCCAGGAACCAGGAGCTTCACCTGGGACTCCTCGTATGGGTGGCAGGTGCTCAAACTCTTGACCCATCTTCTGCTGCTTTCCCAGGCGCATTAGTGGAGAGCTGCCTTGGAAGTAGAGCAGTCAGGGCCTGAACTGGCACTCAGTATGGTGGTGTGTGGGCATTGCGAGCAGCTGCTGAATCAGCTGTGCCACACTGCCAGCCCCTACCTTCTTCATATTTCACAGGGAAGTTGGTGTGGGCTAGGCCGTACCCTACCAGGCCTTGAGGCAACCCAGGCACTGAGCTGATCCGTGGCACAACCCAGCGGGTTCCTGGGGCTGCTTTGGAAGAGCTATGAGACTGAGGGATAAAGGGTCTGCAGGGAGAGGGGAGGAGAGCAGGAGGACCTGCAGGCCAACAGTGCCACATGCTGAGTATGTGTTCTTGGGGATCTGAGGAGTATGGGTCACTTACTCCAGACCCCTCACTCACAAAGGGGTAACAGGGTCATAGAGAAGGTCTCTTTTAAGTCTCTTAAGAAGCAAGGACGCCACACAGAGAACTGAGCCACGAACCCTTTGGAGAATCTTGGGGTCTGGCCAAGCCTTCATAAGGCAAAGGACAGGAGGGATGCAGTGAGGTGCAAGCCTGAGTGCATCTGTTTCTCGGTCTCCCCGCCAGCCCTGGCCCAGCCTGATGCCCTGCTGGTCTTCCCGGGCCAAGCGGCTCAGCTGTCCTGCACACTCAACCCTCCGGAGGCACCCATCGGAGACTACACCGTGTCCTGGTACCAGCAGCGTCCAGGCAGCTCCCCCCGCTACCTGCTCTACTATCGCTCAGAGGAGGACCACGGGCGGCACGAGGACGTTCCTGACCGGTTCTCGGCAACCAAGGACCCGGTTCATAACGCTTGCATCCTCACCATCAATCCCGTGCAGCCCGAAGACGATGCGGACTACTTTTGCTCTGTGGGCTACTACTGAACCCCTGGGGGCGGGTGGAAGGGGAGCGCCTCCTGACTGCCTCCTGCGTCTACCCTGCCTTCAATCCCTCTCCTGGGCCTCATTTTCCCTCCTCTGTAAAATGGGTCCATCCTATGCCACATGCCAACAAGTAGTGAGTTATGAGGGCTACTGAGAGATGTTGGCTGCAAAGGTTCCTGGGGTCCGTCTGGGAAGTGTGAAGGTGGAGACTCGAGATGTCTGTCTTGCAGGAAGCACCTGAGACCCTTGGAGTGAGGCAGGGCCACACCTCGTCTGTGGTGGGGGTGGGAGGAGCTATTGGGAGAAGGAAGCAGGTGCAGCTGCCCCGCCCCTTGGCTCTGCGTGGCTGGTTGTGGTCCAACGCTCACTCGGGTCAGCGGCAACTGGTCCCCAAGGAGCACAGGCTTGGAGTTGCCACCCACGGTTCAGCTGCACCCTGATGGGGGCAAGGAGGCAGGTGTGCACTGGTGGATGGGGTGCACCGGCGGGGCGTGCAGCAGCCGGGTGTCACTCAGAGGCACCTGACGCTATGGAATGTAGTGGTCCCCAGAGAGGCGCCTCCACAGGTTGGGCTGCCACGAGGCACTAGGAGCCCAAGGGGAGGGGTGGTCGCTGTGCAACGTGGCTCTCTCTGACGGACCCCAAGTGCCGGCCCCTCAGAGGCGCAGTGTTGGGGGGTTTCATCTGCACCCTCAGCCACCTCCGGGCTCTTCCCACCAACTCCTTCCTCTCATCTTTGCCTCTGTGGGGGCGGGGAGCACAGGCCGACCCAGAAATAGTTTTGGAATTAGGGGGTGACGGTTCCCAAGACCCATGAGCCCCGGTGTGCCTACGGCGTCAGCCACTCCCGTCCTTCCCGGCCTCATTTACCCTCCGGCCCGGTACCGCTCCGTTTCACCGTCAGCCAGGAGACGAGGCAGGAGCCGAGGACCACAGAGACGCCGGGGCCTCCGCGACGCCTAGAGCGGTCCCGGAAGTGGCCGGGGGCGGGACTCAGGGTGGGCTCCGGGCGGCGGAGTGAGGGGCCGGGGCGGCCGCGGGTTGGAGCGGTGCCAGGGTGGCTCCGTCCCGCCCACTGCCCCATCCCCGCCCCGGTGAGCCGCCCCGGTGAGCGGCCTCGCTCCATCCCGGCCCCATTCCCGCCCCGGTGAGCGGCCTCGCCCCATTCCCGCCCCGGTGAGAGGCCTCGCCCCGCCTCGCCCCATCCCGGGCCACGTCCCCCCGGCGGGACCGACACCTGCTGGCCGCCGGTCCCCAGGGTGGACTCCGGACCTCCCGGGAAGTCTGGAGGGGCTCCGCGTCTGCCCAGCGGCTCCCGGTGCACCTGCAGGTTTGCTGCTGGTCTAGTTGTCCTTGCCAGTGCAGACTTAGAAACCTTTGGCTTTGCTCTTCCGCAGACTTGGCAACACCACCGCAGGTCTAGCGCGCTCTCTGGTGGCAATCCAGTCACCATAGGATTTAGATAATCCACCCAAACCAGAGGAAGTATCTTGGCAGTCTTTAAATTGCCACTTCCCGGAATCACTGCCCTCAGCCAGGCTGGCTCACTTTGCACTACCCCCACTACCCCGGGCCTCCCTTGCTCTTCCAGCTTCCTGAATTCCAGGAGTGAGAGAGCGGTGCTGCAGCTGGTCACCGTGGGACACTGTGCTCCCCAATGCCAGTGGCACCCTGAAAAGTGAAAGCGGTTGGAGCCGCCACATCCTCCACAGAACCACAAACCAAGGGAAGAGTTGTCTTGGGTTAGGGTGAAGGCTGCCAGGGGGCGCATTATCAGCCTACTGCGTCTTGGAACTGGCCCTTTGAGATTCCAGTCTGTGGAAGATGAGAATGAAGCTACAGAGAAATCACGGCTACCTGTCATGACTAAGTGGATGGAAATGGACAGGAAACCAGGGCAGGCCATAGGGGCTAGCAGCCTGTCGTGTTCTTGCATAAAATGTGTCCTTTATCTGCTGCTTGGTTCCTACTGCTGCTTCAGCTCTGAACGGACATTTCATGACCCTCTCCCCAGACCCCCGGGGCGCTGTGTGTCACATCCAGGTTCTGAGCTCCCCAGGGGCAAGGGTTGCTTTTGGGAGGGGTTCAGGTCAGGGTGGCATTGCCAGGGGCCTCCTGGGGGCGCTCTCGGCCCCCGGAGCCTGGGCTTGCACCAGGATCTTGCACCCGCAGCCGTCTGGGGGCACGGGCACCCTCTTCAGGCAGCCAGGCCTCAGTGATGCGTTCTCGCCGCATCCGCATCACTGCGCAGGTGCACGCAGCTCGCCTCTCCTCAGGACCAACAGAACATTCTCACAGTGGTGGCCGCGCAGGCGCAGTCTCAAGATGAAGTCGGCTTGGTCGGTGTCTTTCTGTTTGATCCAATCAAAACGACTCTCTCAGAAGCCTGTGTTTGAATCCCGAGGTTCTAGACGGGCTGCTCCGTTGGCGCTGCTGTGTTCTCCTGGAGCACGGCTGGAGCGCCAGGCTTGAATTCCAGAACCCGGAGACGGCCGAGCGGAGAAAGGGCAGCGGTGTGGAGGTGTGTGAGGGGAGGAGAGCGAGGGGGTCCACCCCGTGTCCATCTTCCCTTCTCCTCAAGGCCTGGCGAGTTCTGCTGTCAGTCTTGGAGTGTGTCACGAGGGGGCTTGGGGTGCTCTGTTCCTGGAGGATGGGAGATGGGAAAGTCATTCGGGAAGTTGAGGAGTTTTTTTAGTGAAGACTTACCAGGTGTCCTTGGGATGGGCCTTCAGTTGTGTGAGGTCTTCTCCGCCTGGTGCTGTCTGGCTGTCATCCATTCCCGTTGTTGAACTAAATGAGGATTTTTTTTTCCTGTCCTTGCTCATGATTAACTAACATTTGAGAATTGTGACCTATGCTTTTTATAGTGTCCCTTAAAACTTTCCTTTTTGTTACTTAAAAAAAAAGTACTATTTTGTGGTGTGCTTTACTGTAAGGTTTTCTTCAAGAGCGTCTCCTATTTGTAACAGTTTGGGTTATTATCAGTGGAGTGTTGTGGTGTCATGTTAAGTTTGGGGAATTTTAAAAAGATTTTTTTTTTTTTGTTTGGTTGGAAAGTCAGATATACAGAGAGGAGGAGAGACAGAGAGAAAGAGCTTCCGTCTGCTGGTTCACTCCCCCGGTGGCCGCAGTGCCTGGAGCTGAGCCAATCTGAAGCCAGGAGCCTGGAGCCTCTTCTGAGTCTCCCACGCAGTTGCTGGGTCCCAAGGCTTTGGGCTGTTTTTGACTGCTTTCCCAGGCCACAAGCAGGGAGCTGGATGGGAAGTGGGGTGCCCATATGGGACCCCGAGGCGTTCAAGGTGACAAGTTTAGCTGCTAGGCTACTGTGGTGGGCCTTGTAAAGTAAATTCTAACTCAGGTAGGATTGAATATAAATCTTGAGACTCATGGGAACCCAGGAGCGATTCTTCCTTGATTGAGAGTGGAGTTTCTGGCCTAATGGAAAAATATTTTCATCTTGTGTGTCATGAAGAATGAGATTTAGTGAGGCGCTGGTTACCATCATTCCTGTTACACCTCTTACTTTTTTAAATGGGAAGATAAAACCCACGGTTTGTAATGGGCTGGAGATCATTTGATGCTATCTCCGTGTAGGTATATAAATGCCTTCATTCCTGCGGGACTCACAGTAACTTTGGTAGCTGCTGTGCAGCGTGTTCAGAGGCCTGGTGTTCATTTCTGTTCTAAATATATGGTGCGCTCAGACTATAAATCCTGAAAATGTATGGCTGACCTCATATTATTCCTGCTTATACAAATGGTTCCCCCCACCCAAAATAATATACTCCAGTGTAGGTTATTGTTTCAGCATCCAGTAAGATAATAATACACGTTTTGGGGTGGCCCAAAGATCAGAATATTGTGTTGGTGTGAACTTGGGTGTCTTCTTCCAACCTGGTTAAATAACATGGTGTTTGGGTTTAGTCTGTTAAGAGTATTGTAATTGCCACTGCTCATATTGGAAGAGAGTGCAAATAACTAATATTGCTCATATACAAAAAATTGTGTATATTTGGGTATTGCAAGTGGTTGAATATTAATAATCGTGTTGATTAATGACCTCAAGAATTGATGAGAAAATGAAAAGATGGTTCAATCCGTGGGAGCTCTTGCATGTTCTCGATGGCTTGTAGGGTTGGGGAGGCTGTCCATGCTGATCCCATGCCAGCTTCTGCTGTAGAGGAATCAAGTAATGGAAACAGAGTCATCACAAGCCCACAGTACTTGTTCAAGGAAATGTTCTATTCTGATTATTAAGGTGACTGCTCATTGACAAAAGCTTCCAGTTATAATTGGCATAAAGTAGATGATTTTGAGCAGTGAGAGATTGAGTAGATTATGTTTGAGCAATGACAGATATATTACAGCTTTTAATTTTTTGTTTTATTAGATTATTATATTTTATTGTATGTGGGATGAAATACACTTCCTTCACAAAGCAATGCAATTTTTTTTCTTATTTGATTTTAATTTTTTTCCAATTTTATTTTTAGTGATATTTACATAGTTGAGAAGGATGCATGCCCATGTGGACCACTGATTAGGGAGGGAAAGGACTAGGGGAGAGTGGATGAGACCATTGTTTCCAGTTTTCTTTTTCCTCTTCCTGTATCCGGGTGAAGAGGGAGAGAAGGGGAGAAGCTGCATCCAGCATCCAGGGATGGGGGACAGCCACCTCATGTCATCCCAGGGTCCCCAAGGGTTCTTGATAGCTCTGAAATGCTGCTGATCTTGGAGCTCCAAGGGTGGATGAGGAAATCCTTCCAAGGTCCGTTGGCTGATATAATCCACCTTATGGTCTGCATTCGCCCAAATACTTGCTGTTAATGCTTGGCTGGGATATTTGGCCTTTTGTTCTGCCCTCCATCCTCTGCTATGATACTGGATGTCCTCTGCAGGCCCCAGTGAACTGCCATAGTGCCCATGTACATGGGCATGCCATCCACTGCACCGTTTTCAGCAACCGAGGAGACCCAATTCTGACACATGCACTGCATGGCCAGACCACAGATCCTATGATTTTCCCCATGGTTGGAGATCTGAATCGAAGGTCCAGTAGGACCCCAAAGAAACCTCACCAGAGGTGACCTCAGACTTGACTCCTGTGTGTGCCAGCTAGTTTGGGGTCTGGCTCAGTTGTACCCATTCTCATCACT